ATCAACCACTGGGTGTTGGGAGCTAGTCGCTCCTTAGTCAAGGCGACTACAGTCTCGTTGTTCAGAAGAAATTTGCCAACTGCTTATCACACTGTTTGTCACTTGCGACATCTCTTTGATGGCAATTGCCTTATTGTTTTCTTCTGACACAGGCCACTGATACGGCCCAACAGAAAACAACCATTCGGGACTCATCGTGTGAGACCCTGCAGTTGGATCTCGCCGCTAAATTCTCGACAGATGTATAACATACTATTAGTCACAACAACGTCTTTATCGTTGTCCTCTCTAGAATATATGCATTCCGTAATCCAGAACATTGCTGCTTTTTGTACAAACCGCTGCTCAACAAAACGAGATCGCGCGACAATTCTTTGCTACTAGCGACCAACTTTCCCCTATTATTAGGCTGTGAGGTTCAGTGTGACAACCCTAGTTGATGTCAAGTGCAGCCAGCATACTTTTGTCAAAGCGTCACTAATTTTCAAGAGATTGGACCGAACGCCCCCAAGAAGACGGTAAGCCTCCCCTAGAATCAACGATGCATATAGATTGACAGAATCTCAAATTTGGGATTAGAGTACCTACCGTGGGGTTGGATTGAGACATACAATCTGTATTGGGACCTTTGTTTCCTTTGAAGTAAATCCCTATCATTCCGCTCATTAACATGGTATGGGAATTGGTCGTTCCGATCTCAACAGAGATTGCATGTCTCAATCAGACTACACGGTGGGTGCTCCAAACCCAAGTTTGAATTTTTAAACGCTGTGCCAAGCATTGTTTACGATTCTCAGTGGATTGGTGACCTAGGCGTTAACCGGTAAACACTAGGCTCCGGGTCCCAGCCTCATCTCGGTCTATCTCTGACTGATGAATCCAAAGGAGGACGAAAACGACAAGGGGGTGTCAGCGTTGGAAGGATAAACACCACAAATTGACAGAAGCGCAGTTAATAAGATTCTCAGACAATCGCTCCCCGATCAAGTACAATCTCCAGACATCCAATACTGAACTTGTATGCGACTACCTTCCGACTGCCAGAAGATTCCTTCTCTAGCTTTCTAGAGATTCCGAGAGCGCAGTAAAACCAACGAGAAAGTATGACACATAATGAAGTAAAGCAGATGGTAGTTAGCTGATCTAACAAGTAACTTAAGTTAACCCCATGCTATGATTTCTTCTGTAGGAAGTGCCCCGACATTCGGGTCAACAGCCTCTCATTCCGGACTTTGTACGTGATACCGTACATACAGTTAAGCTGGTTGAACTAAGAGGCTGTAACGTGAGAATGACACCTGACTAAGTTGAATTCGTACAACAGCTTTCTGACTTATAGTAGCAATGCCTGTCCAGCTGCATATTAGTGCATCTCTATGGACTAGTGTAAGGAATAGTGGAACACTTTGTCTGTTTGTTCCCCTTCGTGAAACAGTGCAATGAAAACCTTCGTTTCAGGAACTTAGGCGGGTGTTTTTTCTCATTATGGGAGAGAAACAGAGAGAAAAGAACAACGGGTTTACAGCTTTAAAATATTCTTCACTACATTGTTCCATGAAGACGAACAAACAGACAAAATGTTCTACCATTGCTTACTCCAGTCCATACAGAGGCGTTACTATGCAGCCAAGTTTCAGATGTTGTTTGTGCTTCAACTGTAACCGTTTCCAATAAAGGCGTTTAGATATCACACGCAGCTCATTACACTTTGTTATATGAATGGACGCTCTGGAATGTGTTCCGCAATCTAGCTCCCTTCGGATTATGATTCACACAACAGAACGTAAATCAGTGCAGACGGATGATTAATCCTATTGTTCTTTATAATAAACATTAACCCTAATAACTTGCTATTCTGCTTTGGATGCTTCTATATCATTCCCATAACTCTGCTTCTTATGTGCCGTTGACATGCCTCTAGATAGAAGCACATTTTATTCTGTCCGCATGTGTATTCTTCGACTTTGTAATTCCACTTATCAAAATTGGGAACTATTAAACCCGTCATAAATCAAGGTTCCATTGTTCCCAGAGCTACCATGTCCACTTGCTTGACTACTGAATAGTGCAAGCATGGAGCGAGAACACATACTTCTGTGTAACTCCATGGAATTATGGTAAATTGCTCCCGTGGAATAATGTTACTAATTCCTGCGCATTTTCGAAATGTTACAAACGCACAGTGCTATCCTCAGCTGTAAACCGATCTCTGAATCTAAAATCCTCCAAGCAGGTGCTTTGAAATTTCTTGATTTCCGACAGCGGTTTTTGCTCCACCATGCTTTTTGGTACACGGCTGATGAATGTTGCTGCGCCAGTACACATTCCACGGCTCCATTTGGATTACAGCAGTATCGTCCTCTAGCGTTCGCACGCGGGACGAGTGGACCAACATATGGTGTGCTTGAATGGTGTGGAAACTTGTGGGAAAACTGTGGGTACTTCAAGAATCCTATTCGGAGTGTGGGTCCAAGACAAAGAAGATAGGCGCGAGGCAGATCAAAGAATTAACAATTATTGGGTTTTGTAGCGTCTACTATGTATCTGGATTGTAACACGCAATCTCAACTTAAATCACAGTTTACACTGAAGTAAACATCGTTCCTTAAGACCACCGGGGTCACATACGAAAGGAGGAGTTTTGTTACTGTCCGCTCCCAGCATTGTACACCAATGAGGCTGATGCCGCACCGAATTCGCTTTGCAGTCTCGCACCTAGCCACCTTTCTTATGAGGTGGTATTACACCAGTCTGCAGTCCAAATGCAGACAAGGAAATGCTTTTTTAAAATCTCTAGTGCGCAAACTCATTTAACTGATGTTTAGAAGGTGAACAGCAGTTTATTGCGCTAAATATTCTTTGAATCACCAAGATCGCAACATGCTTGTTTTAACAAACGATTTCTAAGGCCTCCAACATAAAGGACCATTTTCTGTTTTCAGCCCTAATTTCTAATTTTTAGTTGTGGGAACACAGCAAATGTACATCTTAAGTTATGTGCTTGGAGACATCCGATTCCGGATTTGCCTGTTACTGCCGCCTCCATGGGGACAGCCACAGGACGGTTGCGCCTACGGAGGGAATATGGGTTTCTTGTGCTGCACCACCTACAGTCCCACCCATCAACCCTAAGTCCAGTGTCAACCCGAAGGTGGCATACGGAGGCATCCGGATGAGAGCCACATATCGCCAATGGCGCCGGTCCACACGCCTTCAACGAGCAGAGTAATAGCATTCCGGTCTAATAGGGAAATGCTACCTTCCATAGGTACACAATTCAGTGACTGGGCCGTATGTGGCGACGGAAGTAATGAACAATCATAGCTATTTCATTCGAACAGATGGAGTCCTCCTTCAACAACAGTAATTATTTTTGAAAAGTCACAGTGACAGTTAATTGAGTTGCTATCACAAAAGCTGAACATCCCAGTAGCATGGGAACAGGAACCGGGACTGACATCACAGGAAGTTGAATCTGAATGCCACACGCTGCTCAGTTTGAACCATGACCCAAAATTGGTTTAGGCTTCAGATCCCAGAGAAGAAGCCCAGTCCTGTCATACAGCTATTCGTGGCCAAATTGTGAATCAGGATGTGTAGGACCAGAAATCCCCAACTGCTTCTTGGAACGGGGCTGAGTGGAGTCGTGTGGTACATGATGCAAACAAATTCCTCATTTTAAAGAAACGCACGACTTTGTCGTGTGCAGGCAAGCTCTAAGTGAAAAAGGATAAGGTTTCGTAGCGCAGTGTGGGAGGTGACTTCTGCAGTATTACGTAGCAACTTTTCACGAAAGAGAAAATACGCTATAGTGAAACGCAACAATATTCCGGTATCGCTGCAAGCAGAAACAGTGCGCACTGTCCAGACCATTTCTCGATCGACGCGGGAAAGACTTGGCACCTCGTTAATTAAACCCGTAATTCCAACGGTTCAAAATGTCTCAAGAGAACCACTGCAAAGGAAAGGAAAAAACGCATGCGAACGCAGACGCAAGGAGCTACAATTCTATGGGACTATCTATCCAGCCTTCTGTACCGATATTAGACTGCCCAGAACCGACTGGATTACACAATTAAGTTTACTCAAAGAGCGACTGAGTCATGTGGGTTCTGTAACTATTGTTATTGTCTTCAATAGTGACCGTACCAGTTCTAAATGCTTATGTGTGCTCAAGCTACCTGTAAAGATGACACTGCTGGCTTGCTCGAAGCTCGAACCATCACAGTCACAGTGGATCCATTTGGATTCCCCCGCCGGAAGAGCTCCATGAACCAAACAGAATTTATTTCTCAAGAAGAGGGAGATGTTAGAGGAGAAATACAAATAAATTTACTTGTGTAACTGCTCATGACTGTCGACCTCCGTTTTACTCTGGCCGTTCACTGTTGTTTGTTTTGAGGTATTATTCCGCTATCTCAATTGCCTTCAGGTCGCAGCCCTACCCCAACACAGACAGCCACACTTGCCATTCATTGTGTGGACCTGTTTCGTTCGTTATTCCTTCTGTCTTTCTTGGTTTTGCTTCTGCGCACGCTTTCCGTATGCTGGTTGGCTTACACGCTTGTACGTCATGCTACATAACGTAGTGATTTCCCTATGAAAACCCCTGGTCTGCTCGTTCGTGTTCTTACTGCCGTTAGTGGGTGGTAGCAGTCGCGGGACTATGCCAATAACACCGCAACCCATTTTACACAGGATGGAATCACTCTTTGAGGCTAGCGCACTCACAAAGACCGTTCACGCCGACTCCCCGATCAACGATTCAGTATAATAGAGGTAGCGGTTTTTCGACAGGTAGACACCGTGTTAACATTAACGTTAAACACAGCCAAACCGGGGTTATGGAACGGCAAAATAGAACAGGAAGGATGGCAAACACGTAAGCTGGACAATAAATGTGCGGCAGAATGACAGAACAGAGCACAACAAAAATACAATTGTATTTATCTAGTTTAGCGAATTATTTTGGTAAGTCCGAGGATACCAGCCTGTCTCCTTTATCTCCACACACCACCTGTAATCAATACCTCAACACCATCCATTCTCACCAACCACCAAACAAACAACACACAAAACAAACATCCCCCCCCCCCCCCCCCCCCCCCCCCCCCCCCCCCCCCCCCCCCCCCCCCCCCCCCCCCCCCCCCCCCCCCCCCCACCCCCCCCCACCCCCCCCCCCACCCCACCACCCCCCCCCCCCCCCCCCCCCCCCCCCCCCCCCCCCCCCCCACACCCACCCAAACCATCGCACCACCCACCCAAACCCACACACCTTCAACACTACTACATACACTCATAACCACCCTCACCACTCATACACACCATCCTTACCACCCACCCCCCCTCAAACCATAACCCCACCACCCCACCACTCTAACACTCACGCACAACACCACCAACCACCAACTCAACCACCACTCTCACAACTCACCCCCATCACCACCAACATAACCACAACCACCACCATACTCATCACACCAATTTTCCTACACACTCACCCACCCAAACATCTACCAACCCCCCACCCACCACCACATACCACCACCACCAACCCCCCACCCACACACCACACCACCACACCACCAACACCCCACACCCACACACCACACCACCCACCACCCACCACCCCACCCCACACCCACCCACCACCACACCACCCCCACCCACCACCCCACCACCACCACCCACCACCCCCACCACCCCACCACACCCCCCCACACCCCCACCACCACCCACACCACCCCCCCCAACCACCCCCCCCCCACCCCCCCACCCCCCCCCCCCACCCCCCCAAACACACCCCCCAACCACCCACCAACACCCCACACCCCCCACCACCCCCCCCACCCACAACACCCCCCACCCCAACCCCCCCCACCCCACCCCCACCCCACCCCACCCCCCACCCCCCCCCCCACCCCCCCCACCCCACCCCCCCCCCCCCACACCCCACCCACCCCCACCACCCACCCACACCCACCACACCCCACCCACCCACCACAACCCACATCAACCCCCCCACACCAAACACCCCACCCAATCCACCACTATCCCCACCATCCACTCACCCTCACACAACCAACCCAATACCCACAAACACATTCACAATATAGCACACCACCCTCCAACACTACACATAGCATACACCTTAAACCTCCCCCAATCACTCATACTATCTATCTCTCACATCACGCTTCTAATCTCCCCACCCCTATCCTCCCTCACCCATATAGATATATAGATCCCTACACTCCCCACTCAATTCAACACAACAAAAACAAACAACTCGCACTCACTCTCTCACTCTCATATATCCTCGTCCCCCACCTCCTCCACCCAACCCGAACCCAACTGCTACTCTTTCTCATTTGAGAGACGCTCATAGATAAAATCCCCCCCCCCTCCGCTCTTATTTGGCTCGCTCTCCTCACTCTCTCTCGATCAAAAAAACACACCTATCATCCAACAAAATACAACCTGTGTGTGTGTTGTTCCACCCCCCCCCTCCTCACAATGACTCGCTCATCTGATAGCGCTGCTCCTACCCAGACTGCTATACTCCCCCCCCCAGCCCTACCACCTTGACAATGCGTCGCACCATATGTTGTATTGTGTGCTTCACAGCTAACTATTCACCAATCGCTTGTATAATTTAAATTATCTTTGTATATGTGTGAAATAATTAAATATATATCATATTCCATTTATTTAAAAAGATTATACCCCCACAAAAAAACTCTGCCCCGCCCCCCCCCCCACCCCCAACACGGCCTCTCTCGCTCCGCCACGTTATTCCCTCGCCTCCAACTCATTCTCTATGAGTCTATCCTATCTCATCAAAATACTAATTCTTCATACCCGTTAGATAACCTCCCCACCCACTCCAATCAAACCCCCCTTACTTGACCAACTCATTATATATATAGTCATTTGTGTCATAATATTTTCTGATATGAATATATACAATACCCCACCCCAACCCTATATACCAGATATCCCCTCAAATCTACCGCCGTATAAGCTGTATGTCTACACATCTCAATAGTAAATGTATAAACTTCCAAAATAGTATATACAATATATACCCACACTCACCTTCCCTCACATCAAATGGCCACTACACACACTCACTCGCAAACAGTAATGTGTAATCAACATACCCCGTTCTATCACATTTATCAAATCGCTCTCATTATATATTATTTCTAAACATAACTTCTTTCATATTTAATATTGCCCCCTCCCTCCTCTAGCAACGATACGCACACTTTCATTTTCCTTACACAGTATATCCGTGAAATATATAACTTTCATATTTTATATATATTGTCTTTATTTATATGTTTTATACTCATTTTCGTAAATGCGCTGCACCTATTAGATACTCTCTCGCGTATTATATCCGCGCCTCATGTTTGTGTGATGTTGTAATCTTCTGCATAGAGAGATATTTTATTTTTTCTCATATCCAACCCATTTAATATTGCACTATCCAACCATCACCTCTAGCCATCATTTTCATGCTCTCTCGCACTAATCACTCCTTCCCTCATCACGCACAATATATATGATATAGAGAGACTGTATTTTGACTCACTATACCTAACACATCTTGTCTGACAACCCCCCCACCCACATATAAATTATTTAGTCATAATAATTTTAGCGCGCTCTCTCTTTAATATATCGTAATTTCTCCTTACCTACCAACATCTCGTCCGAAAAATCTTCTTCTATTATCAATTATTAATCTCTTAACCCATTACCTATATAGAGAGACACACACTCTTCGTCTGTACTCACTCTCTCCAAAACGATCCGCTTCTACACGCCAACATCCTCCTCCTCTAATCACCTGAGATGAGATATTTCTTCGACTCTTATGTGTGTGTTAATTTTCAATTCTTCTTAACACTTACTATGTTACCAATATCTTCCATTCATCCTCCTTAATTTCCAGCTCGCTCTCTCTCACTCGAGATTATCCTTATATAATTAACTAACAGAGACCCAAGCACAAATCAATACCTCGCCATAAAAAATTCATTATATACACAACATTTCCTAATAACCTCTCAAAATTAACTCTATATACTATCCTTCCTCCACATCTTACCAATCTACTCAATTATATCATATCAGCCTACTCCCTTTAAATCTCAACCATACAAGTTACCTTCACACTCACACACTCTCAATCACTAATCACCCCCCCCCCCCCTCCCAGATAACTACCTATTACATCCCTCTCTAATACCACCTCCTATCCCCCCCTCCAATATTTCTATAAAAAACATCTCATCTACATTCTAACAACTAATACCACTCCCATCCAACCCTCCTCAGCTCGCGCGCAAAATAAGATATGAACCATCTCCAATAACCAGATAGATACCTTAGCACCGTAAAAATAAGAGCACATAAATACCTACCAGCTCATTTCCTCAAATTAACCACCTCTTCACGACTATGCCCACCCTAATATATACTGTACAAATCTACACCCCCAATTTCGCACTACCATATACTTAAATCTCTCATACCAATTCACCCACCGCAGCATTCACTGAGAACTCTTCTTCCTATAACTAATTAATACATCACACCCCCCCCCATATTCATCCTCTCTCAGATTCACCATTACCACCCATCATCCCCAACCCTCTCCCACAACCCAATACTCTTTTACTAAACAACAATTTATCCCTTAATCTATTCAATCCACATTATTCCATATTTCTTATATCTTTATAACTAATAAACGTCGAGACAGATATATAGATATATTACTCCATATTTAACGTGTTTATTCATACCCCCCCCCTACAAAAACAATTCTTTCCCTCTCGCACTCACCCCCTAATACTCTACACAACCACAACCTCTTCTGATCACTTGGAGCCTCCTTAAGTCTAATCATTTATTTAAATCATCTAGACGCTGCGCACCCCCCCCCCCCCCCTGAGTATCATCGCGACATCGCTCTACTAGCGTCGAGGGGGACGCTCTCTCACCTACCCTCCATGGGTCGCCCGTCCCGTTACACTCCCCCCCCTCTCCCCCCGCCCCCTCCTCACAATCGAGATTGTGTGTGTCCAGATTGAGTGTATTGATTATCTTATTTAGGTAGATCCCTCACCGTTGACTAGTCTAAGCTGTGTTACCGAATATTATGGTAATATTTGGCATTATGGTGCGTCTGTGGTCACAGATCGCTCGGAGTGGTTCGATAGCGCCCAGTGGTTTTGGGTGGTCGAGATGGCAGTGATTGCTGAGTGGGTGCCGAATTGGATTGGATGATGGAGTGAGTTAGGTGAAACGGGGCGGGAAGTGTATGTGCATGGGAAGAAGAAAAAAGGGAGGGCCGCAGCAGTAGCATGTTTTCGCTTATCCACCTGATGTATGCAGCAGACATGGCAACCCTTTTCCCAAGGCCAATGCGCGACGGCCGATGCGCATGAAGTTATTGTATTGAGGTAGATTATAGCTAAGGTGTTGGCGTAAGGACAGTGCATTGCGTCCACATGACAGGAACTACTCGCTCTCAGCCAAGCTCGACAAAGAATACACCGAAAGGCGCGGGCCTTGAGCCATGGTAAGTGAGCAACTCACGCGGAATTGTGTCCTGACTCATGGCTAGGAAAATGGCGTAACCCAACTTTCACCAGTGGTCGCCACGAGGCGTCCAGGACATGAGTCCATGGCAAAACTTTGGGAGCAGTGGGTCAACGATCTGTCAGGATCTCGTCAGCACAAGTCTCAGCACCCCATGTGCTCCACCGGCCCATATATATTATATATATATATAATATATTATATTATATTTTATATATATTTATAATATATTATATAAAAAAACGTATGTAGCAGTACGCAGATCAAATGCTCTATAAAAGTCATGATAAATGGCCGGCTTTAGTTTGGTAAGTCCGTCGCTTGATGTGGGAGCTACCCTGTCCTCGGACCGCCAATGGAACAATGGTATATGACGGGTAAAAAGCATACAATTAACGAGTCCCGCAGGTTGGCAATAGAAATACTAACAAATTGGCAAACCACATAAGTGATTGAAGTAAGGAGCGTTAGTAAGATAAAAGGTAGAAGTATAACAGTTTTAGGGGGATAAAGTGGTACGACACAAAACTGGCTAAGAAATTGTTATCGTTGGTGATGGTAGCAAATAAAAATGGAGTACTCACCGGTTCGCACAGATTTACGACCGTGAATTTGGGGTATAAATCCAAAG